TAAAAGCTGATACTTAACCAAACATAGTTTCCATAGCAAATGGATAGGATATAGCGTCATTATTTGTTCTTCCGCTTCTGACAGGGAGAGTGCATGTTGATGATTCTGATCATTGAACTAAAAGGTGTACAAAGTCCTAACTGACAAAAACAACATTTGTCAGGATTTACTTTTTTCCAAAAACACCCCACACTTTTAGAATAGATATAAGTAGTACAATTGTTAAGACTGCGTGAATGATGAAGAAATATATCTAGATAAGGTCACCAATCTTATGAAGGCTTTAGTGTTCTTAACAGATACAGTATATGGCACGTAAGTAGAAATTGAATAGATAATGACTCCTCCCCCATTATTACCAGTTTGGATCCTCCAATTTTATTAGCATATTATGAACTTGTAAGAATACCTGATAGGCAGACACCCCGTATATAATATTTTCTTGGCATAGTGATGTAGGGCAGGAAATAAAATTTAACCAATTCAACCAGACAAAAAACAAGCACACACACCTTGGTAATCCTAGGTATAATATAGGGAAGTTTCATACTGTTAAAACTCTGGACATTTTTGAAAAACAGTGATGGGAAATCTCTTTGGGTCCAAAGGTTCAGGTAAGTAAGCATGTTGAAGGCCGAAGAACACCATGACAGGTGCACCCTAAATAAGCAGGGAAATCACAATAATGAACTTGGCAAGGCAACATACTGGATTCGCAGGTTATGTCAAGCTGTAAATAGATTGCTTGGTCTTGGCTTTAGCAGGGTTATGAACCCTCTCAATTATGTCTTATTTATTTAATTATGGTTAAATACCTAAAATTGACCATGTGTAAATTCAGCCACACTCCTCACATTCCTATTCATTGGCAGAGCAGGATAGTTTCTAAAGGAATCGCTTGAAGCTATTCCTGATGCAACAAGGCGGCTTTTTTTTTTTGAGGGAAGAATCAGATTGGTGAGAGAAGCATTCCTTCCCATCTATTCCTCCCCTCCCATAAATACATGGAGCTTGTAAAACAGCTTCCACTTTCTATTTAAAGATTTGCCTGAAGCCGGGGAGTTTTTAAATCTAGTTAGTTGCTGACAGGAGATAATAGCTGGGTTCATTGTTGTTAATCACATTGTTGAATGAACTGTACTTGTCTAGATTCTACAGTACATTTATGCAATCCACTAAACTAGCATTTCCCAACCTTAGCCATTTTAAGATGTGTGGATTTCAACTCTTAGGATAACCCAGCCACACCATTTTAAAATGGCTAAGGTTGGGAAATACTGCACTAAATTGTAAATATAAAAAACAGAAGTGTTATGTTCATCCAACAAGCTAAGCCAATTGTGACTTGTTTTGTATGAATACAGTCAATAAGACCTTTTGCTTTTTGATATAGGTAGATGGGTCCTGAACCTGAGGAATGGGATGCAGGTATGGGACAATATTGGGAAGTCTACTGAAAAGGATGGAACTTGAACAAGAAGACAGTGAGCTAGATGGGAGTTGGTGCCTGATTATTTTTATGGGGCAAGAATATTATATAATTCTCTGTTTGACAAAATACTAGGCAATTCTAATTTGTTTTATGTACATTTGTTATTATCAGGTCAGTTTGATTCCATTTCTATGAACAGTGGAAGTTCTGTTTCACTGTCTGGGAAAGCAGACAATTTTGATCATATCAGTGACTTAGTCACAAACTCTTACTTTGTTTCATTCACTATTGGATTCTGGTCAAGTGACTGTAATAATGGTATTCATGTATGAGCTAAATGCAAAATTCCAGCAAACTGGAAACCCTCCTTACACTTCATAGAAGAAAAAAGGCTGGTTAAACATAAGAAAATAAATTATGTGGGTGTCTGAGCTACAAAAATATTTAAAGACACAGATTAATTATATGTCTACATTTTGCTATCTCATAATTCACAGGTTATATTTTTCAGTCCTATTAAAAGTAGTCCTTGACTTACAACCATAATACAGTTGTTAGGCCCCATTTTATGACCTTTCTTGCCATAATTGTTAGGTGAATCACCACAGTTGTTAAATTAGTAACATGGTTGTTAAGTAATTCTGACTTCTCCATTGACTTTGTTAGGAGGCTGCAAAAGGTGATCACATGACCCTGGAAACCACAACCATCATAAATATGAAGCAGCTGCCAAGAGTGAATTATGATCACATGATCATAGGAATGCTACAAGGGTCATAAGTCACTTTTATCAGTAATGGTTCTTTGAACAGTAACTGAAATGAATTGTTGTAAGTTGGGAACTACCTGTATTATAATAAAAACTCAGGATAAAATGAAGTCCTTGAAAAAATGTACTTAGACCAAACTGTCCAAATGTTGTATTTGGAACAAGCTATATACAAAGGACTCCACAGACGAAGCTGTATTGTTTTATAGTTTTTGGAGAAGATAAGACTTCTATATAGCTCCACTAGTGTAAGCTGATAAGGGAAAACTTTGCATCTTCTTACATGGCAGTGTAAAAAATAGCTTTCCTAAATATTTCTCCAAAGCAGTTGAAGACATAGGAACATTACCTCACTAGTAACCTAAAATTTTTAGCTGAAGGGGAAAAAAACTTGTCTTTGGTCATGTTATTGTTTTAAGCACAATGTATATCCAGCTGATTGAAACAGTCGTTATTTAATCTAAGAGAATGACATGCCAGCAAAGCTTTTCTCTGTCCCTGAAAATTTTTCCTTCAAGAATTTGAAAAAATGGAATTACCAGGTCTTGGGAATTGGAATGAATTACAGTCATACAACTGCTATCTGTTGTAGAATCAAGCCTTAGTCATTAATGTAAACTGAAATCCACTCCTGTATTGCCCAATGCAATAATCAGTTGCTTGCACCTGGCAACTAGAAATTGCTATTATAAAAAGGTATCATGATGACATGAGATGTTTCATACTGAAGGGTTTTATAGTTATTTCTCATTGTGATCAGCTTTCTTCCTCTGGTAAGGAGGAAGAGGTGATGGAAGGCTAACTGGCTGCTGGTTTTTATGCTCTTCCACTAGTCAGCTGAAGGGAGCACTTTGCCTAAAGGAGAGTGAAAATGACTGTGTTTGGGGATAGGTTTGTGAAACTGGTTGCTGTATGGAAATTCCCACAGAGATGCAAAGAGAGAAAGAAAAATAATAGTTTTAACTACATTTTGGAAAGTCAAATTAGATGCCACTTAAAATGAGAAAAAATATGAAAACAATTTAGGCAAATACTGTCCATAGAGAAAATGAAACATCTTTATATAAGCTATTTGTGTGAAAAGTTCCAGAACCAACCTTAGCAATTGATAAAGGGAGATGGATGATATTTCATCAGGAAGCAGTGTTGGAGAGTAGAGGTGTGTACATGTTCTTTCCTTTGATTTGTACCTTCTCTGCTAGCCAGCTACCACCTGGAACATGGGCCTATTTACCAGTGCTAAAATAATTTTATATTAATTACGAAGGAGATCACATTCTCTATTTTAAGTTAGAGCAATGATACTATCAAGGCAGGATTTAGAAGTGCTTGGATGAATTCTGCAAACTTCTCTTTCTACTCAACTAAACCACTCTTTTGCATTGGGACTAGTTCAAACTTAATAGTGTTTAATTTAATGGAGGGGGAAATGCTAGTAATGTTTTGAACCTTAGAGAATGCTGGCATTTGCTAGTGTTTTTGCTAGTCCATTCCTTCAGCATGCAGGATTTCCCCTCCCTGCATGGAAATCCTGAAAATCTCAAATCCAATGTCCTTTCTGCTTTGCAACCTTCTCTGCAGGGTTCCCCGCTGACCTCATTCACCCAGTTGGCTTTCTTGCCTAGGGGAGGCTTCTCCTGCTTTCACCTGAACCACTATACCAAACTGGCTCTCTGAAGGGAGTTGGAATTCAACGGCCTTTGGAAGATCCTGCATTTTCCCTTCTTGATAGGTCAGATTCTCCTGTTCCTTTTGATATAACCTAGTAATAAAATCCCACGTCCCAAAAGCTTTTGTCTGATGGAAAATCTAATTAATGTCAATCAAGAAAGTTACATGAACATTACAGAACTATGTAACATGGCAAGTCTGATTTTAGTCATTTGAAGGAACTTTCTTGACCTAAAAACAAATCCTAAATAGAAGTATACATGTCATGTAAGAGTCTGGGTAGAATTCATAAAGGAATGTGCTTTTTTTATCCTTTTCAAACTTGTTTCTATAATTTCATGTTTTGCTAACCTAAACTTTCCATAAATAGTATAACCTTAATGTAACTTATATACTTTTTTTTTTGTACAGTGGCAAAATTATTTCGATTATCTTTCTGGTGCATCTAGTTGTTTCCCCGCCCCCCTAAAAAGCTCTCTCTTTTAATCATTTTCTCATCCAACCTAGAACTAAGGAGAAATTTCCTGACAGCAAGAACAGTTAATCAGCTTGCCTCTGGAAGTTGTGGGTACTCCAGCATAGGCGGCTTTTTTTAGGAGATGGACAACCATTTGTCTTATATACTATAGCGTTTCCTGCTTAAGCAGGGGGTTGGACTAGAAGACCTCCAAGGTCCCTTCCAACTCTGTTATTCTATTCTGGTATGCATTCGAAAATACCCTTGTGATTATGGAATGTATGGATGGGCAAAAAAAAAAAAAAGTAGTTGCATGCTACAAAATTCTTTTAATTTCTCTAATATTTTTAAGACCGTGCCAGTAAAATGGGTCTGACGCTGAAAACAAGCCTTGCCCAGAAGTCGAATTTCAAACCGTTAGGCGGTTTATAAAATGAACGCGACGATAATCTCCAATACGGAATACTATAAAAGCGCGCCCCGCCCTCCTTTGGGTGCCTTTTCCACAACTCTTAACCCCGGAAGGAAAACTCCAAGCACGCTCTTCACCTCCATTCGCTAAGCACCCTTCCGCCTTCACGCAAACTGCCCCCCCCATTTCCCCCCCCCGCCAGCGTAAGATGAAGGTATGCAGCAGCCCTGGTTGCGCCTATACACCATTAGGGCACACGCCTCATGAGCGCATGCGCACTCCGCGCGCTGATATCATCGCTCCGGCCGCGGTTCAGGATTCCCCCCTCCCTTATCGTTCAGATCGGATTCCGTCACCGTAGATAGGTTCGCTCCTTCTCTTTTAGCCTTCCGTAAAACTCTTTTATCTTTGACGTCGGGAACTTCGGGCTAGGAAATCTCGACGGGGGAAAAAAAAAAGGCCAAACGACCATTCAGAAGCGGGGGGGGGGGGGGAACCGCACCTCTGCTGCCACCTAACTCTCGGCGGGAAGTTTGCAACCGAGCCCTTACAACCCGAGGATCGAGTATACTAAGCGAAGGCAGGCCAGCACATGCATGATGGTCATTAGAAGCGCCAGGAATACGAAGCGCATGCTCACTTGAAGGTTAGTGGGGTTTTTTTGGGGGGGGGGTACCCTGGCCCTATTGCGCATGCCCGTCACCGGTCCGCTCCGTCTTTCCAGCCAAACGCGAAGTGCGCCTGCGTAGCAGCGCTTCCATTCTTACCAAGCCCAAGCTGCAGTTTTCTCGGCAACTACAGGGGCGGAGAAAAAGCATCAGCCATGTATTGCAGAGGCAGCGGCGGCGGGAGCAGCGCGGATTAAATACGTCTGTTTGTTCCCGTTCCGTCTGAATGTCTCTTCCAGGACGTGCAGGGCTCCAGATACCTTTGCACCCACCTCCAGTGTTAGCAGCGCCGCCACCGCTATCACCCCAGCCAGGTAGTCGATCCCTTCCCCGGCGCTTGCAATGTCATGTTGCATGGACTTTCTGCATGGGTGGGTGGAGGACTTGGGGGAGGTGGAATCGGCGGCTGGATCGGGGGAGGGGGGAAAGAGAGAGTGGGGATGGGGGGGGTTGAGGAGGTGTGCATTGTTTGGACGTGCGGGTGTGCAAGGCTGGCGGGGCTGATGAAGCAGAGAGAGAAGGGGGGCAGATCTGGTTTAGGTGAGTACGGTGGAGCCAGGCAAGCAAGAAGTGCGGGCAATCCTCAGCTCTTGTCGGCCGCGAAGGTCACGGTTTGATTATTTATTTATTTTTGCTTCAAATGCAGGAGAGGGGAGAGAGATCGGAAGCTCCTGCACAGACACACACACACACACACACACACACACACACACACAAAATGGGCGGGCAGCGGGAGGAAAAACCCTTTTCGGAAAGTGATCTGGTCGCGGTGGTGGGATTTTCCTGCCGATCCTCCTTTCCTGATTTAAATGCGAGAACAAAGCAAACCCCGTTCGGTCTCACTGCATATTCTTCTCCAGGCCGGCGGAAAGTGGGTTGGGCGAGCCCACTGAGGATGTGTGGTTTTCCTTCTTCGATCTACATTGCGTTGCCGGAAAAGTGCAGCTTTTTGTTTTATCTCCGCCACTCCCTATTAGAAATGTCTTTAGATCGGAGATTCTGACTTTAACGCCACAGCCCTATAAAACTCTATAAATTGTATGATTTCATTCTTCCTGCCGGATCTCTTTCCCTAAGTTTTTTTTTAATATATAATACATATATATGAACATTCGGGGTTTTGATGTCAGTTTCCCTTTCTCTAAAAGGTGTTATCGTGTTTCTATAACGGTCTCTTTAAAACGACCTCTTTTGTGCATCGGTCTGTACACACTTAACTGGGATTTGTTATCTTGGTACAAAATGAAGCTGTATCTAGAGTAATTCTTGGAGTTATGTCACTACACTTGGGTCTCCGACGTTTAAATGGTGTGAGGTTATGAGTAGTGCTTAAATATACTAAGATGCTGGAAGAATACTGTATAAAGAATTTAGTTTGAGTTCACCTAAATAATTTACCATTGTTAGATTTGCACCATTTCTCTTAAACATCAGTGGTTTCATTATTTCATCTGCCCTTTCCAGATGGTGAATTTATCTTACAGTAAGTATTCAAGTGCTAAGTTGATTATATGCCATCAAATCAATGTTGATGTTTAGAGAACACACAGATAAAGGATAATCTGTTCCCAACTTGGCCCTTCAAGTCTTCCAGTAGTGTATTTATCATCATTGCAACCAAGTAGTTTTTTTGGTTGTCATTCCCGTCTCTTCTATCTTTCTCAGCATTCCAGATTTGTCAAAAGAGGTCTTCTCACATCCAAAATACAATAATTTGGGTTTGATGCTTTGTGCCTTAAGTGAGAGTTATGGGTTAATTGTTTTTTTTTTCTCTTGATTCATTTGCTTTCTTGGCTATCCATGGTATTCTCTGGAATCTTCTCCAATATCAGAGTTTGAAAGCATCAATATTCTTTCCATCCTGGATCTTCAGAGTTGAATTTCTCCTTCTATAGAGTGTAACATGGAAAACCAATGCCTGCTCAGTCCTAATCATTGTAAATATATAGACACCATGGCATCTGAATATCTGTTCATTGTTACCCTAATAAGTGCCAGTTTGCAGTAGATTTCTTGATTATTGGTTCCACTATTGTTTGTAGAATCTCATAAAAGAAGTTATGACTTCTGTACGATCATTTTCAGTCTTAAAGGTGATTGGACTATCTGTGGCATTAGTTTGGTCTTTATACGTAAGCATAGTCCCATTCTTTTCACTGGGTCTTTGGCTTTCATCATAATATTTTCATTTGTCAAAATAGTATTATTGCCATAACATAGGTTATTGAGTTTTCTTCCTCTATTTTAAAAACATGCTCATCTTTAAATCCAGCCTACTTCAATATATACTTAGCATATAGATTAAATCAATAGAATACATCCTTTGCTGATCTGGAACCACTCTGTTTTGCTATTTTCCATCTGGATCATGACTTCCTGTTTTGTGTATAAATTTTGCAAGCAGACAAATGGAATAATCTTGGGATTCCTATTTTCTTAAGAACATTCTAAAATCCTTGTTGATACCTCTTGCTCTTCAACCCTTTCTATAACCAGTTCAAACATCTGGCATGTACAACTGTAACCTGCATCAGATGATCCTAGGTACTATTTTCCTAGTAGGTGAAATTAAGGATATCACAGCACACTGTTTTAAATCTAATTTCTTTGATATTGTATATAGGATGACCTCTTCCAATCTTTCGTTACTGTGTAATTCTCCAGATTTGCTGACATAATTAGGTTAACATATTTATTGATTATTCTGTTGCTTGCCATATTTCTGTAGATGTTCCAATTTCTGTAAACTTCCAATTTGGTAATAACCAGAATGTTGATCTAATTTCACTTTCTGGTACTACAGTTCTTATAAATGTTTATTTTTTTATAATTTAGGTATTTCTTAGAGAAATGTTCTACAGTATCTTGGTTCTTGTTGTTTGTACTGTATAGAATTTCAGTATTCTCCTTGAAAATGGTGGATACATGCTCAAGATCATATGATGGAAACCCGTTGGCTTTCTTCTTTAATTTGGAACATGCACAGGAATAGATCTGTTCCAGAGTCACCACCTGACCATGTTTCTGATGCTTTAAGTAAGCTTTTCTACCTTGTTGTATTTGATTTCTGTGTGATAACTATGTACATAGGCATTGTTTTGATTTTCAGAAGATTGTTAGCAACAGTCATCATTGATAGAAATTGACAGCGATTCTCATCATTCTCATCCTTCATTTCTGTTTCTTAGGCACTACTGTACATATTTCTTAATATTTTCAATTTTGAAATCTCAGCTTGCAACCATAACCAATACATCTTGCTTGCATGTTCTGTCTACTTCAGATTGAACTTTCTTCTGCATCAGTGGTTGGGAAACAAAATTTGGATAACCATTATACAGAAAAGTTGCCCAGGAATCTAATTAATATTATTCAGTTATTGATTGCATTCTCTTTGCCATTTTTTTCTGACTATGAAAGAAACACGTTGTTTTTCACATCCCAAGTATTAAACAGTATGATTTTCTGACTGAAATTGTCCCATTCCAGCATTTCAGTTCATTGATGCCTAAGATATCAATGTATAATCCATAAATTTAATATTTCACTGGCTTTACCCTGTTCATCCTTCTTATATACCATGTTCCCAATATAATTCTGTTTTTGCAGTTTCTGATTTTCTTTTCCTGCATGACAGTATCAATAATTAGATTTCCCAAGGATTTAATCCAGCCATATCATAAACATATTGATACTATGAAAGATCTTCAACTCTATAGCTGCATATTGAGTGACATCCAACCCAAGGGGCTGGCACTATATCATCAATCATTTTATCTTGCCTCTAGTTTTCTTGATAAAACTTACATTTACCATTGCCTCCTTCTCCTGTATGGTATAAAATGATGCCTTTGCTGTTGTTTTTCACTCATCCTTCCCAAGAACAACAGTGCAATGATGAGGCAGCATATCTGCAGTTGGGCAATTATAACACATCTCTGCATCGACAATATTTGTATTTTCAAGGGATCTCTGATGAGTTAAGTTGACGTCTTCCAAGTATTTGTATTATAACTCTCATAATCCTTGATCATAGAATATGTAGTCTAGCCTTCTGGGAAATCTAGTCTAAAAATCTGAAGGCATGAGATAGCCTATCATAATATCTAGCATGTCACTTTTTGAAATGGTCATTTCTTACTTTCCATGTCTTCTTAAATCACGTTATTTCAAAATGACGAGATTCTTTTTTTCTTCAACAACAGCATTTATGTGAAGATGAATTTCATATCTTAGTTGACTATCAAGACCACAGCCTTCTAAGTCTAGTAAATTATTAGCAAGAATATATTTAAAGATAAATAGTAAATTAAAATCACCTACACATGTAACTTTGTCAGTAATATATGACAAGTTATTTTACATGTTGTGGACATATTTGAAGATTTTTTTTCTCATTATCAAAAATGAGAGACATAAATCCTGCTGCCATATCTTTTTGAAAACCTTTTTTAAAGTGGTTGATTGCTTGAAAGTATACTTTTATTTATTATTGAAATAATAGATGTTACATACTTTTATTTAAATGAATGTTTTGATTTTTTAATGTAATAATCACTTCATTATCTTCATCCTATGTACATATCCCACCTTTGTGTTTTAGAAATATATCCATGGAATGGATCCATACTTTAGAGTTGTACATTTAAGTGGTGCCTGATTAGCCATGACTAAATTAAGTTATCTTGATTGTAATAATCTACTGAATACAAGAATGTCTGAAATCTGTGTTACAGTTTCCTTTCAGGAAGCCTTCTCTGAATTCTTGAAGAAACCTAAGGCAGGGGTGTCAAACTCATGTCAGCACGGCAGCGCCATGTGATGTATCAAGACTTTTTTCCCTTTGTTAAACCAGGCGTGGGCATGGCCAGCACGTGACACGTCCGGCCCGTGGGCCGGGAGTTTGATAGCCCTGACCTAAGGCATTCCTTGTCCACTAGTACATGTTGATTGGATAGCATATTATTTTAAAATAGGT